TGTTTTCTGCATTTTTCCGCGCACCATTCGAGTTCGTAAATCCCTCGTTTTCTTTTACGCTTCGTATGTGTTTCGGTCAGCTAGTAACGTACGCCGTAACATTTAAGTATGCTGATGCGAAAAATATAATTTATTTTTTTCCAATGTGTAATTGAAAAGCACCCGGATGGTAAATTAAATAATTGTGTCCATATTATTTATTATAATTATACGAACCACTACTCTTACAAATTATTAAACTGATAATATTTTAAAAAAAACTAATAAGTTATATGATCTTATTCATATTACTGAGCTCCTGTGTAAAACCTACTTTCTGACTTAGACAGTGTATTTTGTTTTTTTATCCGTTTCACTTTAAATATGGCCTAATGTTTCGTTCAAAACGTTTGGCTAACAAGAACGCAATGCAGTTTTATTCATTTTTACTATGTGCTATTTATGTACTCAATAAGTTTTTTTCTGAATTTTAGGTAATTATATTCTATTTTTATTATACTCGAAGTATAGAAAACTATATTATTTAATATTGTAATGTACACTGCATTTTATATTTGTGTGTATAATAATAATACAATTTGTATAACAATATTATGGAATGCATCATCTTTTCGAGGCATTTATTTTCTATGTAAATGTTTTCCATCGACTATAACTACAACTATAATGCTATACATTCCTTTATTTTATTATTATATTATATATCATATACTTAGACATGATTACATATAAATTCGTATTTTGTATAGGTATCCGATATTTAAATAATAATAACTGTATATTTTATAAATGATAACTGTTTTAACTTGTTATCATATTGACGGTGAAAACTATAATTCTTGACAAATTATATGCATATTAAAAACCGTGTTTAATCATTAAGGCCGCAGTGCTAACGTGATACATGAAATATTGCCAATTCCGACTACTCGTAAAAATATTATTTAAACACAATAAATATACATTATAATTCCGATTGGTAGTTTCCTGTTCATCGCCGATTGCGTTGTAATCGTGTATTATTTTAAACGCGGTCGTTATCATGTTATATTTTGTCGTAAATTATTATTATTATATTATACATAATATACTTGCCGTGATATTTACTGCTATCTACTTGAATTCAATAATTCCGCATTAGCTGAACAAAATTCAGTAATTTAAAAACATCCCAATGATTTTTCTTAACTATAGCTGTCAGAATTTATATAGGGTTATGTATTTATATGGTTTATTTTATATACAAATATTTGGGCTGCAACATAAATCAGGTCCAAACCTATTAGTTATTTAACCCGTCGAATATAACAAATTAACAAATTCTACTTGTGCATACAGTTAACGTTGCAATAATATATTAGCTACTATTGGTTTTTTTTTTTTATATGTTAAGATTATAACATTTAAATTTATTTATAAGTAATATCCAAACCGTAGATAGAAACACCGGATGTCGCCGAGAATTTAGGAACTAGAGTTGATTTGTTCAGTAGATGATTTACATAAAATATAATCTACGTCGTATACATGTATGAATATATATAGTTTTTTTATCATCACTATATTTATGCAAACGAATATAAATCTTTTACCGTAACAATATAAATAGTACGTGAACATAATCTATAGTTACTAGAATTAATGGACTATGTATAATATAAAATAAATCGTATATATATGTTGATGAATATTCTATACCCAATATTTTTATTTTATTTGGAATATTTTTAATTTTTGACCGATAAAATTATCATAATTTTTTATAACATGTATATATTTTATTCGAATTAATTTTGATAGAAAAGTTCATCGGAAAAATTAATTAAAATAAGTATTTGATTTAAAAATTTATTACATCATACAAATTACGAACTTGCTACAAATTCAGTATTATTATAATTATTATTGTTTGTAGTTTACCCATATTTATTGTAGTTTTTGATTATTTAACTCACATGTATATTTTTGGATTATTTATAAATAAAAATTCGTGTAAAACAATTATTATTATTATTTTATATTATAACCGCATTTAAAAAAAAAAGGTAGCCACTTTCTAATGAGATTTATTCGGCTGCCATGCCGTTTTATTTTGTGAAAATATTAATTTGGCGTTAATATAATAATATGTCTCCCCAAGAACGGATCGACATATTAATTTTTTTAATTAACCATTATATGCAAAGAATTATTAAATGGAGTTTGTAAACCGATTATTATTGTGCACCTCCATAGATTATTATTATTATTATCATCATTATTATAGTGTCGCCCACTCGAGACACCTTGGGTTTACTGGCCCTCTGATGGCAATTCCATATAAAGCTATACATGGCCATACCTGTTTTTTTCTTTTATTTTATTAACGTTTTGCAAAAACGACATGTTGTTCCAACTTTAAAAAACCTTATTCAGGGCCTCCGAAAACTGTAGGGTTCCTCTCGAGTTTTACAGTATGTATTTTGTATATACATTATATACAACGCGTATTCGTATGATTCATCTGTTGATAATATTGTTAAAGTTTCGGTTAAAAATTAAAAAAAAAACTGACGTTATCGTTATATTTTTGAGAATTTAGTTTTCATTTAATTGCCATAATATATATATATATATATATATATGTGATTTTACTAATATCCTGTACACAATAGGTACCTATTATTTTTTTATTACCTTAAACTTAATGTGGTTCAAGAAATCACATATTTATTTATTTAAACGGAAGTGTAGTCCAGTGTGCGATATAAATAAAAACAACAATGATCATATATTTTCAGATAAATGAGTTATTTTTATTTTTGTAGCAATTGACTTTTATATAGTAATTGAAATTTTGAAATTAGACAATGTCTATAAAAATATAATGATCTCTTTTATATTTTATTTGGATTTCATGTCATCTATAACTTTGGACAATTGATGTTTACGATACCTCACCCACG